AAAGCAAAGCACAGCTTCTCTGTTTGTGCCTCCCCAATCTCATCATATTCTGTCATTTCTTTCCTCCCATTTCCTGAGAAAATTGGTTCTGCTTACTCAGAGGCTGTTAAATATCAAACAAAGTATGTATTTATTGAAAATGTAGACTCCTACTATCTGCCAGAGACTATTCAGACATAGGCTATAAAACAAAGTGAAACACTTTCTGCCAAGCTATTACCTTTATATCTCAGTTACCTCATAGGCAAATTGAGGCTAAGGGTGTCACCACACAGCATTATTGTGAGGATTAAATAAGTTAAGACATGTAAAATACTGAGACCAGGGCTAGGCACATAGGAAGCATTCGTTGTGTTCCCATCATTGTTACTCACCTCGTGTTGTATGCATCTCTTCTGCTGTGGGGTTCTCTCACTGAAAACATTCCACACCAGAACTGAAGTCTTTGCTTTCAAAAAGTCTAAATTAAAAATGAAAGTTTAAATTACGTCTTGAGAGTTCTGCTTTTCGCAGTGGTAGATGAGTTGTTTCAGATGAGCCTCCACTGAGAGGAACTAGAAAGGCTGGATGGAACAAGAGAGCATCTGTTTGAAGGCACTGGAGAACAACTAAGGCAGTGAGAGTGTGTGAGGCCACGCTCCGAAGGAAGGGAAAAGCCCAGAGATGTGAGCCCAGCCTTCAGCATGGCTTTTTCTTGAGTGCATGACAGATTCCCATCCATGAAGCTGGAGAAGACTGAGCAATAATTAAGCTTGGCACCTTGACCTCTGGTGTATGGGTGTGGTTGTAGGTGTGCAAGCGCATTACAGTGTGTGCTTTTCAAGTGCACCCAGAACGCTTCCCTTTGACCGGATGATGGGCCATAAAGCAGTCTCAGATTCAAAGCATTGAAATCATGTAGAGGAGCAGTTCACAAGCTTTCTGTCTGTCAGACCTCTTACACGCTTGAAAATCATGGCGGATCTATCTCAAAGGCTTTGTGTTTATGTGGACTGTATCTTTAAGTGTTTACCATACTAGAAATTAAAATTTTAATGTAAGAATACACAAGCACACATTTCATTATTCATCAGAGAAGTGTCATCATATATCATATAGCCTTTGAAAAGCTTCCCTGTACACTTAGGAAAGAATGAAGATTGAAAAAGCAAATAATGTCTTAGCGATGTTATAAAAGTTTGGTTATAGATCTGAGAGGGTCTTATCCCTTGTACTCCCCAGGCGTGTCTGGACCACATTTTAAGAACCACTGACAGAGGGTATTATCCAACCACAGTAGAATTAAGTTAGAAATCATCAACACAAACTAAAAATCACATATTTGGAAATTAAGCGGTATGCTTTTAAATACCAATAGCTTAAGAATCATAATAAATTAGGAAATACTTTTGATGTTAATAAAAAAATAAAACCAAACCAGTAACTGTCAAATTGATTCAGACTCCTGGCAACCCGAAATGTTTCATAGAACCATCCTGTGTCGGGTTTTTATGGTAGCGGTTTTTTGGAAGTAGATTGCCAGGCCTTTGTTCTGAGGTATTTCTGGGTGGATTCAAGCTGCCAGCCTTTTGGTTAATAGGCAGGTGCTTTACCATTTCCACCGCCCAGGGATTCCGTTAATAAAAAATGTTACTGTTGGCGCCGTCAGGTTGATTTGGACTCATAACAACCTCACGTGACAGAGTAGATCTGCTATGTGGGCTATTCTAGGCTGTCATTATGGGAGCAGATCACCCAAGTGTTTATCCCTGACAGCTGCTGGGTGAGTTCAAACTGCCAGCCTTTGGGTTAGCAGCCAAGCACTTAACTGTTGCACTACTAAGACTCCTTTAATAGAAAATACTTGTATCTAAAAATTGTGAGTCACTATCAACAGTATTTTTTAGTGGCAATAAATAGCCTGACGTGCTCAAATTGGAAAGATGGAAAGCTGTATTTCTGAAAAAAGAGGAAAAACAAATTAGACAAAAAGAAAGTAAAAAGGTGGAAATGAGAGCAAGTGTTAGTAAATGAAAAGATACACGTTAGAAAGGATTAACAAAGCTGACAGCTGGTTATTTGAAAAGATCAATGGAATTTCTAATCTCTGTTGAGAGCGGTCAAGGAAGAAGAGGGGCACCTGAATCCCGTTGTCATCTCATCTCTCCTGGATGTTACTGCCTCACTCATTGCTGCCTCCCTGGCCCATTAATTACCTTTAGTGTGTTTGTTACTTGTGATCATTTGGGTATGGTCACACTTCACCCAGCAGAAAACCTCTTTGATGGGCACTTTAAAGTGTAGTTATCTCTGGGGGTGGAGGGTGGCAAAAAAAAAAAACGTTCTCTTCAATAGTATGCCTATCTTTTTTAACTCTGTGTTACTAGAGGGTAATGCAGGTAACAAGGCCCAGGCATCTGCTTTTGTTAATATTTGACAGACTTTTCTCTGTTCTGTAGGTGGTGTCGGATTTGATATCAACTGTGGTGTCCGCTTGCTAAGAACCAATTTAGATGAAAGTGATGTACAGCCTGTGAAGGAGCAGCTTGCCCAGGCTATGTTTGACCACATTCCTGTTGGGGTGGGATCAAAAGGTGTCATCCCGATGAATGCCAAGTAAGAGGACGAGTTTCCAATAAATGGACTGAGGGGGGCTGTAACTGAATGGCCATCACATTCGTATCCAGAGTAGGGCACTTGGGAGATAGTGGATGTTCAGTCACCTCTCAGGAAGTGGTGTTGAATTATTTTTTAAGCACCATGTGCAGCCCATTTACTAGAGACATTAATTAACTAATGTTCATTATAATGGAATAATAGCCACTGACATTGACTACTTCCTGCAGTAAGACACTGCTGTAGCATGTATGCATTGTATTTCATGGACACAGTAACCCTAATATCCCTAATTTATAAGTAGGTAGTTCAAACCAAGGATCCCTTGATTTCAGGCGCTGTATTCTGAACCCCAGTGCCTTTTATTAGTCAACCTCATGTTTATCCAGAATCTTCCTTTTTGGATGATAGAACGTGTTCTTTATCTGGTGCTTGTTGTTGTGGGCCATCGAGTCAGTTCGAGCTCATCGCAACCCTGTATGACAGAGTAGAACTGCCCCATAAAGTTTCCTAGGCTGAAGTCTTTATAGGAGTAAAGGAGTGGATCATCAGGTCTTGTCTCACAGAGCCACTGGCTGGGTGTAAACCAATGACATTTTGGTTACCAGCCGAGCACATAACCATTGTGCTACCAGGGCTCCTTATTCTTCGGCGAAGGCATTGTATACCTCTGAAGTAGAGAATTAAATACAAGTCTACAATGTAACTACCTTTCAGGTGCCACTGACTGTTGGACTGTGTCATAGCTCACATAAAGCAGTGCATGTGAGACTGCAGAGTACTTCTATAACAAAAGACTATGCCCAACAAGGTGTTCGTTGGACATCTTCCATTTTATCTTTAAAATTCATGTGAATTTTATGTTCTATTCAAATATATGTATACATGGTAATATAAAAAATGTCTTCAACCACCACCCAGTTGCTCGAGTCAGTGCCCACTCAGGGCAACCCTGTGTGTGTCAGAGTAGAAGTGTTCTCCATAGATGTTCACTGGCTGATTCTTCATTTCTCAGCAATAGATTGCCAGGCCTTTCCTTTGAGGGTTTATCAGCGCATATCATAGCACCTTGTGCCCCCTGCCCCTGAAAAAGAAGTAGAAGTAGAATTGACACTCTTGGAGGATGCTTATTCTGTGGCTTCATGTTGTCCCTGACATGCAGCTCTACCTTGAAAAACACGTAAATTCCAAGCATCTTCACAAATATTTCAGATAGGAATTGTATCTTATTAACGTTTGAAGCATGGGGTCTCCATGAGTCTAAATCAGCAAGTAGCACCAACAACTTTT